TATAAGCCTCTCCTTAGAAACAAGGTTTTGGCCTAGAATATCACGTTGGCCAGATGGGTTGGTATAAACCCTTCCTTCGAAGTGTTGTTGCCCTGAGTAGTTTGCTCCATTAGTCGCCTCTTACGACACCCACGGCATGAATAGCGATGGTGACACTCTATATTCATTCTCACATAGGAAAATAATTTAAAGAATACTCGAAATTCGACCGCCAGACGATCTTGATACTTTTTTATACAAATTATTCTTTAATTCGTATAATAATAATTGATGTATTGCAAATTTAGTTTATCACAATTCCTTTTAATGATAGTTATTCAAACTTTCATCACGTTACAAATATGGCTGTTAGAGAAATGGCAATTGAAAACGATGACTCAGTAATGGAGTCACAAAGCGCATTATCACCGTGTTGTATTAAACAAAGAGAGTGACTAGCCGTTTAATTACATGGGCAACGTGTTAAAGAAAGACGTGATTATATTTGAAAAGAGATTAAACTTAAAAATAGCGTCACTGACTTGAAACTCTTTATCCCTAAATAACTACCAAGGAAGTTTATTCTCCCAAATAATATAAGAAGTTTCTGAACGAATAGACATATCACTTGATGGTAAGTAACTACCGTCATCCATGGATACGTGCTACTCGAACCTGCCAGGCTGCACTACCTGGGATCCCTACTACGCTGAGGCACCTGAACGACACTTTGTGTGATCCACAAATTGTTGTTCTGAGTCCGGGTGTTTTTTGTGTCCGTTTCATGTATGTTTGTAAAGTTCCCCGCAACACGGGATATATTCCTAGTGCTGGAGTTGTATTTTTAAAGTAAACAAAAGAGAGAGACACAAGCCCCTTCCTCCCAGAAAGAGAGAGGGGGGATTGGTCACCGGTGACCTCACTCTCTTGGTGAAAAACAACGGTGAATCTAAGCGATTCTATGAAGCATTGGTTTCACTCACGGTCGCTCCATTCCATGTGTGCGGAAGCATGGCTCTCCTTTTTGTGACGAGGTGGAAAACCCCTTCGGATCTCCGTCACCTAAGAGATGCAGGGCTAGGAATATGTGGTGTTTCCACTCAAAACCACCCTGACGGCCGATCTCGGGTGCCCTAGGGAGGACCCAGACCATGTGACTTCAGGTACCCCCGGATTGACACCGCACCTAACTAGGCCAAGCATGGCTTTCCTACCCTTAACTTTACGCATACTTTAGAAAAGTAACACTTTATACTTTAGGGTAGAAACATGATCTATCTAAATCTAATAATATATGTATATTTTAATACAGGATCGAACACACACGCCGTAATGTGATTACATTTTGTTTGTTATATGTACCAAACTCTGCTGCGCTCAGCTCAACCACGTTGAACTACATACAAGACACTTTAAGACGTATGTTTCCATTATCATACGATAAAATCAAACATTATGTCGATTACAGAGGTATTGGCACTTGAAAAGATGCAAATATATTTATAAAACAATTTCGCAATGTGATCTTTCAGGAAAAGATTGTAGTTTTGGTGTTTTTAAAAGCTATAAAAAAGTGTGATGATAATACTAAATTATAGTTCTGTTAGCAGAGCTTTGCTGCCTTAGCTAAAATCATAAATTGAAAACATTCACTGAAGCAGTTTTTTTTTTACACACTTCTGCAAAATCATTGCGTAAGGCGTTCGTAATAGGCCTCAAATACCGGAAGCATTTGCAAGCATATGCCAAGTGTATATTTTAAACTTATTAGGTGAATAATTAATTACATAATCTTTAAATACTACAATTATTACGTTATATACGTATATAAGTATTCTATCAGTCAATCTAGTTTTCATAGAACAAGCTTTGCTTAGTTTGAAACTAGATGGCGTTCTGTTAAGACACAACGCCGTCTAGTTGTCCGAAAATATTAAGTACCACTTTAAAATAGTTTATTTCTAAATAATGTCTACACATAATAAGCATTAGTATTAATTAACCGCCTTTTAACCATTCAGTATCAAAAACTCCATAAATTATGCATCACAACACACTTAAGACTTCTTCAAACGCTTTTCGACTTTCATAAAACAAAGCTTCATTATTGACTCGAACTTTCAAAGCACTCGAAAACGAAAGTCGTGCCTTAAAACAATGGAAACACACACCGTGTCAAGTGTCAGTAACAAGGCCTGCTTTCTTCTACACAGGCCACATTATACTACACCACCCATCAATATCGACTTCATACATTTTGAACTCTATATTTACATCTATAAGGTGGATATTCGGTATGTGAATAGAGAAGATATACGAACACCTTTGATTTTGAACCTCTTGAAAAAGCGTTCAACTTTTGTACGATTGTTATTATGTTATTTTTGGATTGAATACTTGAGTTGATTTAAAGAGAAACGGGTGACAAATTCATAATGTATCTATATATTTTATTATAAATGTTCAGTTGCTTTGTGCGTTCATCATCGTCATCATCATCAACAGCCTTTAATAGTCCACTGCTGGACATAGGCATCTCCTTAGGAAGGAGGTTTTGGCAGACGGGTTGGTATAGGGCTTGTTTCAAGTATTCCTTCTCTTTGTAGTGCTGTTGTCCTGCGTAGTTTGCTCCCTTAGTCAGCTCTTAGGACATACAACGCTATAAAGATTCTTTTTGTCTATTTTGACCCCCATTTCAGTCACTTTTGTTCCCCAATTAGAATCAATGCAACCACGACGACGGAATGACTTCAAACAATACTAACAAAGAGCACTAAAAACCTAGCAGTAATCGCGGTTGATTTGCCGTCATTATTTGAAGAGTTCCATTGTCTGTCTCCGAAACTCATCATCAGATCTATTTGAAATTTAAATGAGACCATTTCGGAATGAACCCCTTTCAAACAAAAAAGAATTTTGCAAATCCTTATATACATATATGACGGAGTTATGACCGAACATACATAAAAAATATATATAAACATACGAATTGATAACCTCTACCTTCTGAAGTCGGTTAAATAGACATAAACTTATGTCTCGACTTTACCAGAGATTCAATCACTCCTCCCCTTATTTAGGGGGGAGGGGGAGGGCGAAGGTCGTCAACGCACTTATGTCTTTTAGGTTACAGATGTCTATAAGTGACGATCATCACTTACCATCACATGACCTGTCTGCTCAATTGCCCCCTTTTCCATAAAAAAGAATTATTTGTTTGGCAGATTTACGTTCGGCAATGTTAACAGGATACTGTAGTATCTAAGTAATCTCCTAGGACATACTAATTGTGAATACCTTAAGCGAAAGACGAATAGGTACCAGAGCACTAGGTTGGTACTAGAACATTCCAGAAGGGAACAGCTTGAATAAGGAATTAAGTAAATACAAGTTATTTTCTTATTTTTTTTTTTAATAATGTCATTTTTTATAGTCTGAGCAAATTCCCCAAGTTTCCTAAAGACGATTTGTAAGTCGATCGGCTTTCATTCAATCAGAACAGTGTTACATCTCTTATACATTGCTATGCTACAAGGAGGTCGCTATACAACAGCACTACAAAACAATCTTCACAATAACCATTAAACGCCATTGACATATCTGCTGTCTAGCACGTTGGCGCCATTTTATAACTGTACTTAACAATATAGGCATTACTTATAATTAGTTTCTAGTTAACGTATCGTCATTTTCTTTTTTTATCTTTTCAGATAAAAAAAGAAAATGACGATACGTACTTTTTTTGTACTTTCTTTCTTTCTTTTTTCTTTTCTTTTCTTTTCTTAAAAGACAACTCCCGCACTAGGAATAAATCCTGTGTCGCGGGGGACTTTACAAACATACATGAAACGGACACAAAGTACACTTAGACTCAGAACAACAATTTGTGGATCACACAAAGTGTTATCCCATGTGGGGTTTGAGAACCCACAACACTCAGCGCAATAGAAAGTGGCGTGGCGACCGCTTAAACCACTACGCCATCCATGCAGTCAAAGTACTACCGAAAAACAACTTTAGTTTTATTATATTTAAGAGCAGGTCAAGAAACTATGTAGGTACCAATTTTGTTTTTACTGTAATAAAGTATCTTAAATTGTTACAAAAAATTGTTCAAAGACAGCTAATTGTTGACGTAGTTCCCTTAATGATTATTTTAATCTCCATTCATAGTTCAAAGGAAATACATTAACAGACCGAAACATCAGATTTTTGTCTGTGATACCAGGTGGTAAATTAGTACCAAAATAGCAATTTTTTAACATTATAAAAGAGTAATCTACTGTAAAAGTTTTTATCGGTATTTCCGGACCGATACGATCGTCAAGAAAAGAGCGTAGTCCTTCCTAAAAGGCTGGCAACGCGATTGTGACTCCTGAGTTGCAGGCGTTCATGGGCGGCGTTAGTCACTTTCCATCAGGGGAACCGTCTGCTTAGAATTTTCTAGCCATCTAGGTTAGAATTTTAGATTAAATTTAGAATTCTACAATAAGTTTAGAATTCTGGATTAGATTAAAGATTCGACCAAGAACTCTGGGAACAGTCTGATAATTCGTTACACAGGCGACCAGCTATAACAGAAAAAGCCAAAACCATTTCGCAATGAAATGAAGAAGTTCTTGAAAGAGAATGTCAAGTGATCAAGGAGAAGAAAACTCGATGCGTCGACTCTAAATTTTTTTGGAATTTTTTTAGGAAGGTGATGAGTTTCGGACCTGACAGGGGTCAGATAGCAAGGAGTAAAGCGACCGATGACATGTCATTAAAATATTTAGTAAATTTAATAATTAATCCTCAGCAAGTAATAAAAATATTAACTACTGACTTTTGCCTGCGGCTGAGCCCGCATGTATGTCTGTTGTGTGCCCGGTCAGTGCTATCGGTCATTTTATGTTATTTGTTAAATAAAACACGTCCACCATTTTCTAAAGAATCTGTTTTATGTATTAACAACTAGTGATGTAACTAATAACTAGGGATGTACCCCAAACATCTCCCCTTTTCTAATTACAAAAGACACATTAATCAGACTCAGAATGAAAATCAACATAATCCTTAAATCTACGAGGTTTCGTTATAACTCTACCTTTTCTACTTTTTATTATAGTTGGTACCTCTATTGCACAACCAGAGCTTATACTAGAAATATCTTTATTAACATCTCTGTATTCTAGATTTACAGTATTTTTTCCAATAACTACACACTCATCACTTAATGTAGAACAATCTCCAGATACAACATTGTCTTCTAAATGCACAATGTTTCTCTCTACACATACATCAGTATCATTTTGTTCCTTAACAATATTATCAGTAAAAACATTTCTTAAATATTCATTATCAGGTCCTGACATCACGTTTGACTCAGGCACAGATACAACTTTATTAGGTAACGACACATCAGGTCCATAGTCACCAAATCTGTCAATGTTATTTATATTAGTCTTTTCATTTACACTATAATTTTTAGGTTCAATATAAGGCATCAAATATTTTCTGTTTCTTCTATAAGCTATTCCTTTCTCATCCACCACCAGATATGAACGAGGCTCATCACATTTTTTTAAAATTGTCCCCTTTATCCAATTAGAATCTAATGTCTTTTTAAAAAAAACTTTCTGCCCTATATTTAATTCTGATAGAGGTTTGGCATTTTTATCATAGTAGTTTTTTACATTCTTAATATGATTATCATACTTTACTCCATAGGACATTATTTTGGGTTTTAATTTATTTTTTGAGAAAGGCAATAGTGAATTTAGGTTTCTTGAGTACAACAACTGTGCAGGAGATGGCATATATAACTTAGGAGTGTTTCGATAGTTCAGAAGCCCAAGGTATGGGTCAGACCCATCTTCTGTACATTTTTTCATTATATTTTTAAAAATGTTTACTCCACTTTCTGACTGTCCATTAGATTGTGAATGCTTTGGACTTGTTTTCACATGAATGAAATTATAAACATTAGCAAATTTCTTAAATTGTTCTGAGGTGAATTGAGTACCAGGGTCTGTTACTACATAAGCCGGTATTCCATGTCTTGCAAAAATAGATTTACAATTAGTAATTACACATTCACTTGACAAATTATCTAATTTACACACTTCAAGGAATTTTGAGTAGTAGTCTACTAATATAAGAAAGTCTGTTTTATCTAAAGTACATATGTCAATTCCAATTTTGTGCCAAGGTATCTTCTCTACAGTATGATGAATAAGCGGTTCTTTTTGGATATTAGGTCTGTATTTGGCACAGGGAGTACACTGTCGTACATATACTTCTAAATCTTTATTTATCTCTGGCCAAAAAACGCAAGATCTAGCTCTTATTTTACAAGTACTCAAGCCTGCATGTCCTTGATGAATATTATGCAACATATCTTTTCTTAAAGATTCTGGTATAACAATTAAATTACTTTTAAGAATTATTCCATCAATTAATCCTAATTCATCTCGAAATGTCCAAAATTGTTTGACATTATGATCAAGATCTTTAAAGTTCTTTGGCCATCCATTTTTCACAAAATACATAACAGTTTGCAATGTAGGATCTGATTGTGTGGCACTTTGAATTTTTATTAATTGTGCTTTTGATATAGGTAAACTATCTCTATGTAATTTAACATGACAAACTATCCCTTCATTTAAATCAGTTAGTTTACATTCTACATTCTTTGGACAACTCCTTGACAATGTATCAGCAATTAATAATTGTTTGCCTGGTTTGTATTTCACATCTAAATTATAACCCTGTACTGCTAGCATCATTCTTTGTAAACGTGCTGGTACTTTATATAATGATTTTTTAAATAAAGTTTCTAACGGCTTATGATCAGACTCCACATGTACTTTACGCCCATAGGTGTATTGATGCATTTTATAACAACCAAATACAATGGCAAGCATTTCTTTCTCTAACTGACAATAATTTTGTTCTGTATTAGTAAGAGCTCGAGACCCAAATGCAATTGGTCTCCCACTTTGCATCACAACTGCCCCCATTGCAGTGGAGGAGCTATCTACTGACAAAACAATGTCCTGATTGGTATTAAAATATGCTAAACAGGGGCTATTACATAAAGCTTGTTTTAACATGCTAAATGATTGTTCCTGGTTGCTGTCCCAAGCAAACACAACATCTTTTTTCATAAGGATTCTCAATGGCTCAATTAGGTTGGAATAATTAGGAATGAATCGAGACAGATAATTGCACATACCCAAAAACCTTTCTAGGTCCTTTCTACATTTTGGCTGTTCCATATCCATTACTGCCCGACCCTTGCTTGGATCTGGAGAAACCCCATTAGCAGTGAACAAATGACCCACAAAAAGAAGTTCAGACACAAATAATTTACATTTCCTCTCATTGAATTTAATTCCATTTTTAGATGCAATATTTAAAACTTTGTTTATTCTTTCATTTAATTCATCAATTGACTCAGCCCAAATACACAGATCATCAATGTATGGAATAACTCCTTCTACATTTTCAAACATTTGAGTGATTATCCTACTGAATTCTTCAGGAGCAGAGCTGATTCCAAACGGTAACCTTTTAAACTTGTACCTCCCAAAAGGAGTTATGAATGTGCATAGATCTGAACTTTGTTCATCCAAATTTAGCATCCAAAATCCATTTGATGCATCGAGTAGAGCAAAATATTTTGCATTTTGCATTCTACTTTTTATTTCGTCTAGTGTTGGTAATTGAAATTTAGGTTGTATTACATATTTATTTAAAGCTCGAGGGTCTAAGCATATCCGTAATTTATTATTTGGTTTCCGTACCAGCACTAAATTATTTACCCATTTTGTCGGTTTGTCCACTTTCACTATAACTTCTAATTTCTCCATCCTAGCCAGTTCCTCACGAAGCTCAGGCAGCAATGAGAATGGAACCCGCCGAGCAGCTTGGATAACAGGAACAGCGTCATCACTAAGTTGTATTTTTACTGTGCCAGGTAGACAACCAAGACCTCCATCGAACAGCTCACTGTAATTGTTTTTAATATTTCCAATCAATTCTGACACATTATCATTAGTAGAACAACTTACATTATTTACATTTACAAGATCAGTATTTGCTGCAACAAAATTATGTTCTAGACATGTTCTACAGCCTAATAGAGTAGGAACTTCTCCCTGAAGAATAATAAATTGAACTTTGTATTTATTTTTATTTGGGTGTATGATTTCTAACGTACACATTCCACATACAGACACACTTTTGCCATCTAATTGTATAACTTTTTTATTACATGAATGAATTTCTGATTTCTTGACACCAAGCATTTTACATACCTCTTTTCCTATAATATTGCAAGCCGCTCCTGTATCCATTTTAACTAAAATTTTCTTGTTGTTAATCTCAAAATCCTGAACAATCTCATTACCTGTTGTTGTCAACACTCCAATAAAGAAATCAGGACTTGCTTCATCAGCCTCATTAAGAGTCTCCGCTACATTCACTTGTTTCCTTTGAACCTGTGAACTGCGACACAATTTACTAAAATGATTCATTTTCTGACAGTGATAACATGTTTTGCCATATGCTGGGCACTGATTAATTTGGTGAGTTTGTCCACAGTTTCTGCAGCTTCTCACAAGTTTCTTAATTTGATTTGGTCGCTTTTTGTATTTGTCACTTGAATACAAGACCTCCGTCTCATTTGTATCCATTGTTTGATGTGAATTACGCTGCTCTTCATTTTGCAAATATATTCTTGATGCTTCTGCACTAAGCAAAAACTTCATAATATAGTCTATAGACAGTTTACTATCATCCTCCGACATTAGTTTTGTTTTGAGGTTATTGTATTTCACATCCAGGCCTGAAATTATTCGGTGCACGGTAAGAGACTCCCTGAGATCCCCCAATTCACATTCCCTTCCAATATTGATCACTTTGGTGAAATAATCTTCTAATCGCAAGCCATTTTGAGTGGCGGTGAAGAATTCATGTCGTAGTATTGTGAGGCTTCTTTTAGGGTTAAAATATTCTTTGAATTTCTCTATGACAGTGTCCAGCTTTTCAGCACTTGATGTATTGAAGGTATTATATATTTCAATACCTTTTTCACCGATGCAATTCAATAGTATACTTATTTTGCGCTTTTCACCCACCTCATCCAAACCGTTAGCCTCCAAGTATATACGAAATCGTTGCACCCATGTTTTGAAATTTTCTGCTAGGTTTCCGGTAAAATTCATTGACGGGAACGGCGGGGCTGGCACAAATCCCACTTCTGACACCATGTTGTGTGCCCGGTCAGTGCTATCGGTCATTTTATGTTATTTGTTAAATAAAACACGTCCACCATTTTCTAAAGAATCTGTTTTATGTATTAACAACTAGTGATGTAACTAATAACTAGGGATGTACCCCAAACAATGTCTGTTATCGCGATGTTACTCGCTGATAATGCAGTTTCATCACACATCACATCAACAGCCTATAACAGTCCACTGCTGGACATAGGCCTCTCTCAAAGGAGGTTTTGGCCTACCATACCACGCTGGCCAGACGGTTGGTATAGGATTTGTTTCAAGTTTTCCTTCTCTTTGCAGTGCTCTTTGTAGTTTGCTCCCTTAATCGGCTCTTGCGACACCCACGGGATGAATAGGGTGGTGACTTTCCGTGTTCTTAATCTCTCATCACACAGCTAGCTAGGTGAAAGAATTTCTGAAATCGGTTTAGTGGTTTAGGCGTGTAAGGGTAATAAACAACAAACAAATTCACTTTCACATTTATAATATAAATATGAATTAACGTTAAATAACTGAAGCTACTGAATTTATGTTAGAACTTAACTCATTCATTATTTAATTAATCTTTGTATCGGTTATAGATGGTTAAACGTGATTAAACATAACGACTTGTGTAGTTTACAGCTTTTACAAACATAAAATAACTAATAAATTATAGTAATAATGTAGTTTAGATTATTATTATTAATTATCAAAGTAATGTGGTTTACTATATCGCTACATCAAAGAGAAAGGAGCGGTGCATACAATGATATATATTTTATACTAGTTTCCCGCGTTTCGTTCGCGTGGAATTTGAAAAGCGCTACGTTAGTGGGTTCGATTCTCAGACCGGGCAAAATTTTATAGGGTTTTCTGAGAGAAAAAATAGCCTAAGTTACTCCTTACAAAGAAAGTCCAGCCGTTTTGACGATTACCCGGAACAACCTGACAGACAGACAGACAATACATTTTTAAACTGGTTTTTTATGCATAGGTATCGCGCAAATGTGGTTGAGCATAAAAAAAAACTATTATTTTGGCATTACATACATATACTTCAATTTTATTTATTTGTATAGATCGTAATAATAAGACACGGTAATTGATACGGTTTCTTCTGCTATAATTTGTAATAAAGGCAGATCTCGAAACAAAAGGTGGATAGGAATGGATAACAAGTAATTATTAAAAAAACCTGACTGCAAAAGGACTAGTTAAAAGTAATACACTAAAAAGACTGAAACAGAACGAGGTCCGACACAAACATGGCCCATTTTTACGTCATGAAAACTTTTTAAACCAATTCAATTTTCCCTATTTAATTTAAATAAATAACTTATACATATGTTGGTAATTCCCTGTTAATTTCCTTGATTTTAATACCCTATACCCTCAATAGGTTTGGTTAAATTTATTTTAAAAAAATTGTGACAAAAAACCCGCCATTTTCTTTTTTTTTTTCAAAAAGCCATCTATGGACACTTGGGGTTTTGATGGTCGTGTCTTTTTTTACATTAACTTAGGAGTTCGATTATTTTACAGTTTTAAGAGACTGTAAACCTCAGTATATGGTTTTAATTTCAAAACGATACTCAAACGATAATCTCAACGCGTTCCCGAGATAAAGGGTCATAACAGATAGCCAGACGGACAGCAAAGTGATCCTATTAGGGTTCCGTTTTTTTCCTTTTGAGGTACGGAACCCTAAAAATACCATCTGATGTACTGCTATTAATTACTCTGTAGCTTTACCTTAAACCGTAACAGTAAATAAGAGGATATTACGTAACTTTTAACATAACATTGCTGGTGTATGCTGTGGTATTGGTTACATAACGTGGGCCACCTCCTCTGTCACGCCTGAGATGTATAACAATTATTTCTGATGATGAACATAACATGTCTTTGACTACCGGTTTCTAAACATTTGGATAGCGAAAGTTGGCAGTTATTGAGTTACGGCATATTGTATTTAAACAATAAGTTAATTTAGTACACACACTATGTGCGCATACGCACGTTTTCTATGAGTACTGAGAGACGATTCATTGCACATTTCTGTGTAAATAAGAGATGAATTCTTTTATGGGTATTTTTAACTTAACTAAAAACTTAAGACCATTACGACCAACCTAAACCTAAGATATTGTAACTGACACAATAATAGCTGTTTTGACATAATTATTTTAAACTTCTGTTTCTTCTTTTTAAAAATAATATTTAAAAAGAAGAAACAGAAGTTCCTTAAACTGGAAAAGATATATAGCATAATATTTATTTAT